AGTTTGGGCGCGGCGGCGGCTGCTAGCGCATGTGCACGAGCGCGCTGCCCATGTGCCCGTGCGCCGCTCGCCACGATTGGCGGCGTGGGGCGGGCGCACCTGGTTTGTGGGGACGAATACAATCTCTCGTGGGTATGCGGTAAGATTCACATATTCGCAAACTTCCTGGAAATGCGATGCGGTTGCTGCCAGTGACGCTGCCACGCCCGTTGCGCCGCTCGCCGTGTTTGCGCCTGTGGCCGTGGCGGGTGAGCAGGGTGCGGATGGCAAACGTATATGTTGAGGTTGATTGGCGTCATTCACCGCACCGTGGTGGGAGTCTAGGGCGGGCACGCCTTGAATTCTTGCCCAAACCCCCGCGATCAACTGACCGCCGCAGCAGCATATCAAGACAGCATATCAATATCACACCTGTGAGACAGGCTAGGCTGAGAAGCAGTGCCGCCACAATTGCCCAGGAGTCCCTCCGACGGTCCATCCCAACCCGAGCAACCAAACCAGACAGCCCAGAATTCCGAGCCTGCTGGCGAAACATGCCTCAATCAAGATTTAAAAGTGCTGGTATGCCGCAGCCACCGGCAACATATCGTAGGTGCGATAGCCGTCGGGCGCGTGGGTGACACCAGCAATAAACAGGAGTGTGAGTGGGCGAGCATCTCTCCGATACCCGACGCCATGGCGGCTGCCGCCTGCATGCGGCGCCACACAATCAAGGAACCCGATTGTCTCAGCTGCAGTCATCTACGGGTTGCACACATACAGCTGCCTGCGCTGCTGCAGCCCGTGCTGCCGCCTCCTACGACCGAGCTCAAGAGTGTTGGTTGGTCGCCACTCTGGCGGGCGGTTGTGGGTCCCAGCTGCACAAACCATCCAGCTCCCGTGCTGAAAGCAACGAAGCCCTCACAACCCAGTCCTTTTGTAAAAGAATGCATGCAGACGTGAGTGATGGGCAACATGTGGGCGCAGAAGCGGGCGGGAGGCAGCGGAGGAACACTGCAAGCAAGAACAGGGGTTTTCCTTAGACACTCCTGAAGATCCTCTTTATCTGTGGGCCAACGAGTCTGCAAGGATACTGTAAGGAGGAGGCCTCCCTGCTGATATCCTTGTGGCTAAGGAGTAAGAAGGAGCCGGTTTGGAGTTGACACAGTAAGGAAGTGGCATTGCAAGGTGCGTGCATACCCCTGACGTATTTGGGTCAATTGCATTTATTATTGCATGATGCTGGTGTGCAGGGCATGTGTGATATATATACCAGCTTGTACTGCAGTGCAATCGGCATCGCTGCCGCCGAAGCAGCTGCGTGGGTGCAGCAGCGGCCAAGCCCAGCGGCGCTGCAGGTGCCCTTGTTTTTGACATAACTGCAAAAAAAGCTCAAAATACCCCCGAATCCTGGCCATGCATGCAGCATCCTAGCCGGCTCAGCGATCAAGCCAAAACGCCGCCTTTCCCCCCCACCGCCGCTTTGTTGAGCGAACGCGCACGTGTCGATGATACGTGTAGTTCTTAGTCTTAGCTGGAAAAGTACTAGCGGTGCAAGGCGAGCTGCACAACACCTGCAGGTGTGAGGCAAGGCGGGTTTAACCCTGTCTTGATTTAAGACTCTTCAAGGGCTCTGCCGCCGCCCGGTGCGCACATCGCTTGGTCTGCCTCTTGGCCGTTGGGCGACTGCAGGCTGATAATTGCAAGTGGGGGGTGGGTGGAGGGGCGTCCTCATCTGGCTGACATGTCACCGCCCATCATGCCGTTTCAACCCCACTGTTGACTTATGTTTGGGGTGTGTGGCTCCTGCCTCCAGGGTGTCTGATGGGGGATGCGGCAGCAGTGGAGTGTGCCCTCAAGCTGCCTTGGCTGCGCCACGCAGCCGAGGGCAAGCAAGGTGCCACTGCCTCTTGTTGCCCCCTGACCGGCTGTCGCCGCAAGGCCATCACATGACTAGGCAGCGGCTGCCGGGCGCGCAGCACATGCATCCAGGTGAGGGATTCGGATACATGCAGCACATGGATCTGTGCAGCATTGTGCAAATGGGCGGTGTTGAGTTGCAACATGGCCACGAGAGTGCCCCCGAAGCGCACGCTTACAGCGGCCCAGTGCACGCAGTGGATGCCCGGATTGGCGCGCCGTGCCTGCCCGCCCGCCAAATGGGCGCTGCTTGACAGTTCCAGCAGGGGGCCCCATGCACCAGGGATGCAGCTCCGCCAGCGCTAGCGTCCTCGCGCCGCATCACCAACCCACACCAGCTACCAACATGCCGCAGCCAACGCCCTTTGAACCGGCAGCGCCTTGCTCATTCAAACAAGCAATTGCCAAACTGCAACGCTCGTTGCGCGCGGCCTGCGAGGGCGATGTGGGGCGCAGTGCTAGTCGGGCTGTGCCAGAGATACGGCACCTTGGGGGTCGGCGCAGGTGCTCTGCTGCACGGCTGCAAAGGGGGCATGCCAGCCGGTACGGCACTGGGCTTCGACGGCGGCTCAACCAGGCTGTAGATTTGTATGCTGATTGACTGCAAGTAGTATACGGTAGTACCGTACTGTGTGACAGATCAGCTAAGTGGATCTGCTGGCTGTCACCCGGCCGAAGGAGGTTGGAAGTCCATCCACCACGCGGGGTACGGATCCGTCGAATGTGCCATAGATATGGTTGTAAAGTTTACAACCTGTACGAAATGACGGTTACCGAAGCAAACTCACCAGCCACCTGAAGTGGTCCGACCACCACCGTCGCAACAACGCTGTCATCCTTGGCACGTAAAAAGATGTGTCGCAGGCTTCCGAATACAGATTTCGATCTCATGCTGTCCATGCAGAGCAACGGATGGGGGCAACCGCCGCACAGCGGGCGCGCAGTCGCGTCGGCGCTTGCTGCCCAGCCGCGCTTGTGCGCTCTCACAGCACGGCTCTGTAGATTTGTCGACCTTCGCATCAGGCAATCAGCTCCTAGAATTAAGATGCTGGCAATGGTGGCGCTGGTGATGTTGCTGCTTGCCGGCGAGGCGGGTGAGCGGGGGGCACAGCAGCTGGCTTGCGTGTCGGTGGACCTGCGCCGGCGCCCGGGCCACGCAGCAGCCGCGCCCTTTACTGGACGCGCACACGTAAAGCATGTGAATGCTGCATTTGCCCATGCCGTCATATCCATTCCTGGAGCTCAGCCCACCGGGTGCTGGCAGCTGCACATGCGCGTGCGTGCCCACAAACCCCACATGCATACCGCATGCAAGCATGCGCCCGTGCATGCGATGCCCGATACAAGCACACATCATCACATGCGTACTCATCAACACCTCCCCCCGCATACCCACCAACATAACCTGCAGCTGCCGACCGCGTGAGAACAACCGGCGACGTGGCAGCCTACGAGGCCGCCGCTGCTGCCGCCACCCCTGCCGGACCCACAGGTACCATCACGATCGGTACGACAGGCAGCAACTACACCTGCGGCCGCCCCGTGCCCATCCGCCTCGCAGCCGCGCCCGGCAGCGGGGCAACGACTGCTTGCGTCCGGGTCGAGTCTTACGGCTTCGGCTGCGCCGTCGTCGACGGCATTTGCGGGCTCGAGCTGCAAAACGGGGCCGTCACTGTCGGGTTTGACCCCTGCTGGCAGGTAGGGCGGCAAGGGCTGGCTGTTTGCAGAGGTTGAGGCTTAGAAACCTTCTCAGCGACCGCCTGCCAGTGCCGCCGCCAGAGCCGTGCTTTCATTCTGCTTGCCAACACGCGCACCGCACCAGCGGGCCGGTTGCACGCCCCTCCCGCGCCCGCCCTCGTGTCCTGAGTAAGGCCAGCCCGACAACACCTTCAGAACGCGCGCTCCCCGCCGCAAAACACAGGGCGAAATCAGAGTGGCTGCCATCTTTCGCACGCCCACCTCGGCCGGTCGCCCGGTCTACGCATACGCTGCGGTCGACTGCACGCCACCCACCATGTCGCGCATGAAGTTGACCGCTGCGCCCCCTACGCCGCCGGCCCCGGACGCCCTAGCGCTGTCTTTCACCGGCGCCGCGCGGGCCAGCGGCGCGCCGCTGGCCGGGTACAAGCTCGCCTACCGCGCGGCGCCGCCGGGCGGCTACCCGCCGGCGCGCTGCGGGGCCGGCGCACCGAAACTGAACGTGACGGTCATCCCCGTGCCCGGCGGCGCGGGCGCTGGGGCCACGCCCATCATGATCAGGGGCCTCGCGGCCGGCCGGCGCTACCGCTTCCGGCTGTGCGCGTTCGACGCGGCGGGGAACCATGCTGCCGGCATTGTGGCTGCCGGGAAGACTGCGGGCTGACAGTAAGGGCAGGCCGGCGCGCCGCAGTTGTGGACCCACGGCCGTCGCGCTGCACTCGGGGCGCAGGGCTGGCGCGCCGCGCCGTTGGCGAGGAGGCCGGGAGCGGCGCGTCGAAACGGCTGATCTGGTCTGCTGTTGATGACCTTGATTTGCGTGCACATTCACTATGGAAGCGCATTGCTGAGCGCCGGGGGCGCCCGTGCACAGGCGTGTTGATGTGTTGGTCTTGATGACGCCACCTGCTCTGCCCCTGCGCTGAATTCGCACATGCGCGCGCGGGCGCCGGCCGGGGCGAAGGGCATGCGTCTGAACAAGTGCGCATACTTCTTGACCTCGAATTGAGTGTCTCATCCACTCTCTGCCATATTGAGTTCACGAAAATGGGCCCAGCACCGCTCCACTACAGAATTTGACGTCATGCTGACACGTCAAGGTCGCACGCGCGTCCAAAATCAGGACGCGACTGCGTGCTTCGGGGCCAACACAACCTGCGTCCACGATGTATTCCATGCCTTTGTGTGACGCTGGCCGGCTCGAGCGAGCACGTTGACCGGCCCCGCACCATATACAGCAGCGCGTGCCGCCGCCATTCTGCTCAACCTTGATGCGTTGCGCACGTCGGCTCGGCGCGATGGATGCGCTGACGCCAGCCTGCTGGAGCGCCGCAGGCAGAGGCCTCCGCCTGTGGCTGCCAATTCGCCTTCGAACTCCTGTCTTGAATAATGTTCCTGGTGTGTTTGCGCCGTGTGACGGCGCCGCGGCAGTATACGGCATTTTCACATGCGGCTGCCGTGGCGGTCCATTGCAGTTGCGCTGAGGGTCAAACCCTAAACCAGACACGTTGCCGCCCTGCCGCCCAGCCCCCCCTCCCCTGGCTGTGCAGCGCAGCGCTGCAAGAATGCCCTTCTCTCTCTCTTACACACATACACACACACACAGTGCCGTGAGCATGAGTGTTACACCATTTGCAGGGGTTGTGGAGGCCTAATCCGGCACAACGCGCCAAGCAAAGAGCCACCGAACCAACACACCGCTCAAACAAGGTCACTTGCCAGAAAAGCAGGATTTGCTCCTCTGCAGCAAAACCCAGGAATGATCAGCACTACGGTCTGCCGACAATAACTGGACGGAATTTGCAAAAACAGGCGTGCGTCCTCTGCAGCTGGATGGTCACGAGTGATGTCACGTCAAGATTTTCTCGCATGACGCGTGAAATCTTCAAGATTCTTGATTGGGTTACTGATCACTGTACGCTGATGAGCTCAACGTCAAAAATGAGGGTGGCGCCCCCTAGGGTTGTTTGGTGTGTGTGTGTGTGTGTGTGTATGCGCGCGCGTTCGGGGGGCGAGGAGGAACAGGCTGCAGGCGTCGTTCGGGGGGGAGTGATGAATGTGGAGGGGCGCCTGCGCATCATGGAGCTAGGAGGAGGCGGCCTGCATGTGCAGTGGCGTCTCAGTCGCCCCGCTGTTTCCGAAATGACTTTTCAGCAACGCTCAACCACAACAGACCGCCAGAGTTGTGGCGGCAAGCCCAATAGCTTTGGCAAAATAGACCCGCGCGCCCCCCTACCCCCCTATTTTGTTGTTGCCCGATGGTGAGGGGCGTCGCTCACCCGGGATGACGCCGCCGGCGCCCCTCGAGCCGTAGCCGTAATCTGTGTGTGTGTGTGTGTGCGTGTGTGTGTGTGTGTGTGTGTGTGCGTGTGTGTGTGTGTGCGCGTGTGTGTGTGTGTGTTGGTCGGGGAGGGGGGTGCAGCAGAGAAAAAGAGAGGGGGGAGATACTGGCTGAAGGTGCCAGCTTGGGCTGCTGTCTACAGCGTAGCCCCCCTCCTCCCCCCTCATTCACGAAGCGGAGCGCGATTGTACAGCGGGATGCATCCATATGCGCAACGCGGTTTCGCTGCCCTCAACGCAGGCACTGTGCATCGAGTCAGCGCATGCCGACAGCTGATGCATGACAGCTGATGGCGTACGAAAGGGGCGGCAGGTGCGCGGTGGGCGCGGGCTGTTTGGAGGGGATGGTTAGGCAAAAGGCGGAAAGGCGGCAGTCAGGGCAGCGGCAAACCTGGGGAGATGGTGAGCTTGGCGCGCTCGCCGACGCTCATCTGGTGCAGGAAAGGGCAGGGCGGCAAGGGGGACAAGGGGGGGGGGGGGAGGAATCGGTGACGCGTTGGCTGGGGCGGAAGTGCGCGGCCCGTTGCGCGCGCATCAGGGGCCCTGCTGCAAAACGCCGGACCGCAAATTCAAAGCGGGCAGCCCCTTGATGCCCCAAAACCGCGGGCCTCTGTCATTGCGATTGGTTTAAAACAAATCTGAGCTGTCTGATATGTTCAGGGTGGATCTGAAATCGCTTCTGCGGCGCGCACCTTTGCCACGCCCACATCCCAGCCCTAGCAAAGGAGTGGATTGCGTGGAAAGACGGGCGTGCCGCGTCAGTTCAGATCAATCTACGAGTGGTTCAACCCATCAGATCAATCGGAATGCGCCTCCTGCACCCGGCTGCCACCCCTGCGACGCGGTGCGGGCTGGCCACACGCCGGTCGCGCGGCTGCGGCTGGGCTGGGGTGGACCAGGCGCGCACCTTGATGACCTGTCACGGCGACACGTTTGAATCGATTCGAACCGGACGGCGAGTCGCGGCATGCGGCCGGTGCAAAGGGCAGATGGGTGAGGTTGGTGTGCATTATATGGTGGTTGCCGGCGGCAGCGTCCAGCATGCAGCCGGCTTGCGTTATGCTCGGATGGTTCGTGGCCGCACACCAGGGCCAGCGGCTGTGGCTCCGCCCGCCTCCCCCGCCGCTGCCAGGCACGGCAGAATGGCGGG